ATTCCTAACTGTGTATAAAACTCGTTAATGAACAATTTTTTCAAAAAACTGAAAAATAAGTGAACCTGGTCCTGTGTATCAAGACGTACCTATTCTGTTCACGTTTAGTTTTTTGCTCGTATTTTCGTCTCATCGATCAGTTAGACAAGACCGTATATTGGACACGTTTCGTAATAATGTATAACTTTTTGATTTTTCACTTCTTCGAAAAAAATTATTCAAAAAAGTAGTTCATTTCTTTTTATCGTTTGGAGCGCACGAAAGGAAATCCCTATAATGTTCAAGGAGTAATATACATCGGCTACTGCATGATGATCATGATGATCTACAAGGTTGGTAGAACTGACTATTCTTGAGTGAAATTTTTCCACCAACCGACTCACTAATAGATCTCAAAACTGAGCAGGAGAAAGTACTGTTTCGGCCCACAAGGCCTCATCAGCCGCTCTCGGTCTGCTGGAAGCAGAGACAAGACAACGCTTCGGGTATATCACCCATTTCGAAGACGCCGGCTACTGCACGATGATCTAGTCATGCTACGCCATCTAGTGACGTTAGTTCTAGGTAGGGCCTTGCGGCCACCAGTGAACTCAATGTAAACACCTTACATTGAGTTCAATGGCGGCCACATCCTACACTGTAAGACGTTGCCATCTCTAGTCAACACATGCAGGCCCCTACGCCTACACGTTACAAATTCACCACTTTCACCAGAATCGTTGACTTGTCCCAGTTGTCAGCAGACCGATAGTGGCTGATGAGTCCTAGGGGGCTCAAAAGGTTCTGTCTCGCTCCTGCTGACAATTGGGGCAAATCTGTTCATCCTGGATCTCTTAGTTATGAGATCTAGCATTGAATTTTAGGCATGGATGAAAAAAATATAATTTTATAAATCACCATGTATAAAGTTGTTGGGTGTTCCTGGAACGTGATATAATATAGCTTAGTAGGCATTTCATATTGATTTGATATGAAACTGGAAATAATTAATAATAATGCGAACTGGCAGAGATTAGTTGATAATTTTGTTACCAGAAAAGGTTCATCTGCTGATATACAGGGTGGAGACTTTAACTGGAATAAATTCGCTAGCATGGAGGAGAATGGTTTTTCTGAAAATTCGCGAGAAACGTCAACGTTTTAACGTAGTTTCCTACATTTCGCGAGCAATATGAAAAATATGAACCTTCAGGGATAACACAAATCAGCTATAACATGTTTTTTCAAGTAGAACCCCATGGCTTGTGACCCCTTATTGGAAATCTGGTTGAAGGAGGAATCCAGCATTCTAATCAAGTGTTAGTTCGCAGTACGTTTGGGGGTTGCATACAATCAAAATATGATATTAAAGTTTAATATATTTTCAACTCATTTCTATCAGAATTCCGATTTTTATCGACAGTATATGAGGCATGTTCACCAGTTTGAAACAACGACACTTCGTTTCAACTTCCAATACGGCCTAAAAACTATAGTAATTTTCCTAACAAATGCGGAAAGCGATACTTTCCCGCACGCGAATGCCGTTGAAAGACATTTTCCGCATGAGTTAGGAACAATATTTTTTCCACAAATTAGAAGATTGATTGATTTGTTCAATTAATTATTCCTGCAAATAGGACCAACTAAAAATAGTGATATATTTTCTATCTTCTAATAATTAGTGATATATCTATTGTTTGTACCGTTTGAAGCATTATGTAGGTGACCTTATTAATTGCGGAAGCCGCAATGCTCATGGTGTTTGGCCTCTAGGTTTCAGACATTTCAAGGAAATGAGCCAAAAATACTTCTTTTTATTTGGTGTTTTCACTTTTTTACTATTGCACCATTCAATAAATCCCGTGTAGTGCTTCTCAAACCTTTATTTAGACTTCGTTGGCAATAACTCATCTGTATCGCATCTGTAGCTGAAAGTTTTTCCTCGCAATTCCACTGAATCGAAAATGACAGTAAAGCTCTGTCGGTCACTCTGAGAATCACACTAACTGGCCTTTATTTTGATTGACCTGACAACAATTGTTTCCCACATCAGATCAATTAAAGGCTATATAGATCGATTTATATAACAATCAATTATTATTTTTCAATATTTCTTCATTTTCACAATAAATAGTGCAATTTGATGATTTTATACAAACTCACTAAATACTGCAACAAAAAAACCTGAAATGTCCATATTGTGTCACCCACCACTCATATTTTGCGAGAATATTATATAAATGTTTTTCCGCACTAGTGTGGGAAAACTTTTCCCGCACTACTGCGGGAAATGACACTTCCCAAACTAAATTGCGTGCGGGTATAGGGTGAATCACGCACGCTTGTAGAAAAAAATCTTTTTGCGGCTCCATTAAAAGAAAATAATGTTATGAATTGTTCAAGACCAATTTTGGGCAATGAAAACAAATTAAATTTCAGAATGATACTTTGATTTTGTATATAACCCTCAAACGTACAAAAAACTAGAATTTGATCTGTACCCGGCCTTAGGGTTGTATATCATCTGGGTTTCATAATTAACAAAAACTCAAAACCAAATAGTGATGCTAAATATATTTGTAAAATAAAATAACTGGAAAACTTTGTTTTTCTCATATAAAAGAAGGTCATATTAACCTCAATATAAAAAAGGTTAGAATGGTCTTCTTCTCCATTTCTTGTCGTTTCCAGTGTTGCCAACATCAAATGTCCATTATTTTATATTGGAACACTGATGACAAAAGGACAGATGGAGAAGAAATTTTTTTGCTCACCCAACGTTAGCCAAAGCTGAATTGCTCTATTTGATGTGAGAGTTCTCAGTTGAAGAACGTTATATTAATTATTGCTATGATCTTTACATTCAAGTTGCAAAAATGATTGCTACCCACCCACTTCCATGAGTTCTTAGAGATAATTAATAAAGTTTTAATTTGGAATGAATAGCATGTTTTATGAAGGCTGAAATGAATTGAATGAACTACCAAAACTTTCGAAAGAATCAAAGAGTAAGACAATTCAAGTCATCATTAAAGGAGTATATCAGTGACAGCTTATGATTATAATTGGATACTTAGCTTTTCGTGAAATGTACTCATATGATATGTTCATTATATTTATCTCATAATGTTGTCAGATATTTATACATTCGCGATTTTTTTTGCATTCATAATAAATAAAAAAATGTATAAATAAAATAACATATTTTGCCATTGAAAATCTATCAAACATGTGAAAACGGATATACAGTGTGATATACAAGATTGATGGAATTCTAATCGAATAATAAGGAGACTGCAAATTTTTTTTTGTTTACTCCTAATAATAAATTATGAACCCAGTACTAATTGTAATTTGTTTACGGAAGTGAAGTGACACTGATAAAAGTCAAGGAGAAAAATATTGAATAATCGATGAAAAACGCAAGAGAACTACACAGTAATATTTTGTTTTTCAACAAAACAAACGGCATACTCGTAGGGTATGCCCTTGGGAACTCTGGATGAAATCTTATTGGTCCAATAGATGTTGAATATGTTTTCAAATGAATCATGGTAGTAGTAGTAGTAATAGTAGTAGTTTAATGAAATTACTTTGGACCACTTTGAGATATGGATGATTTTCATGATTTAATAGGGAGGCTACTGCGAGGTAACTTGACCATCATAGGCCATTTTGGCAACCCCTGCTCTTCACATATCTACACATTCTTCTTCTATTTGTTCTTCCTAAACATATCAGACCGTTCTGATGATGGTCAGGTCTAATTCGATTGAATTTTCCTGTTATAAATTGCCCGCTCCAAATAAAGATTTCGAATGTCATCCCTCCATACGCCTCACAGTCTCCAATAAGGAAGTGGAATGACGTTTCCTGATCTTCACCGCATTCACAGCAAGTGGGACTATCTTCTACACCTACGAGTGATAGGTGTATGTGCAATCTATCGTATCCTGTAAGTACTCCAATGAGGAGGCGCTTGAGTAAGTAACAAGTAACCACGCCATCTTTGGCGTGTTTGGATCGGCCACCAGGTTTCTTGATTGCCTGCAGCCGCCTATATGCCTCCAATATCCTTCTAGTGCTTTGTTTGCCCATTCTCTGAGGGCAGACCAAGTTTGACTTCTTGTGATGCCCAGTGCAGGATTTGTTACCCAAAATGGTGACGCGGATCCAGTTCTAGCAGCTCGTCTGATGCTACTTCGTTCCCAGAGTTCAACTTCCTTTCGTTCAGCTAGTTTCTCAAGAGCATCGCCGCAATCCTTCATCGAAGCTGAGCTTGGTTTGGGATGTCAGATAGCCTTGTGCTACGCCTGACTATCCGAGTCGATGTAAATTTTCTGCTCTGGTTCCTCTTTCACCTCTTGTCTCTGCTACAGCCAGAATGACGAATACTTCAGCCTGAGAAACTGTAGTGTATTTTCCTAGAGCGTCCAAGTCTTCCATATACCTCTTCCTTCTAGGCAAATTTCTGCATCAGGCTCCTGCTTGTCAGCTAGGCGAGATCCGTCCGTGTAACATACACTAGATTCCTTGAGCGAAATTCCACTCTGCGCTCTTCCCATTGTTCCTTGATTGGGAAAGTAAGAATATATCATAGATATCTCATCGACAACAACAGAGGTGTCTCTGAACTATTGGCCAGATAGCCACGTGGTTAAAGCGTTAATATTCGAATCGCGTTGGCTTGCCGGTGATGGGTACAAATCCTCGACAGCAGAAATTTTTCTGATGGCCCAAGAAAGTGTATGGGAAAGGTCAGGCCCCTTCTTGCTCGCACAATTCTCTTGAAGACTTCTGAAGATTGCTTGTAAGGGGGCAACAGAATGACGGGTAAAACAATTCTAGAACAATCACAACAAACAAACAAAATTGGTGATAAAAACCTAGCACCTTTCAGAAAGAGAAAAAAAAAGCATTTTCGGATCCATATTCATACGATTTTCATTCTCTATTTTGCTGAGAGGGATCCACAATTGAAGAGGTGGACCCTGATACAATATGTTGTATGTTTTCAGATGAATTCTGTGAAGAATACCCCCACAACTTCGTGGCAACTGCGGGTTACTGGATAGAATGTTCCAGACAAAAAATCACCACTGACACCATTTGGGACGAAAGTGAATCTGAACACGAAAACGACATTCAAGAAGGAGAAGAAGACGACGAGGAGAATCGGAAGGATCGTGATGATCATGGCAATGGCTATAGAAAAAGGGACAGAAGTAAGTATCAAAAAAGGATAAAGGAAATCAAAGACCTAAAGTTTGTCTTTCCCTGATTATTTCCTTCGTATAATTCTAAACCAATCAGAACTTTCAATTGAGCTAAGCTGCCTTGTATAATTTCGAATATTCGTGAACATGCATAGAGTAGTTCCACCAATAAGAAATCTAGCATTATTTCTATTTCCATAGTGAACAATTCATATTGTTACATACAAAAATCGCGTCGTCAAGTTTTGACGTTCGTTCAGAACTGATGAAAAAATAATCGCATCGAATACAATTCGCACTTCAAAGTCTTCAAGGTTATAGATCTCAAACTTCCTGCACAATTACAAATCGTTCCAGCTTAACAGAATAATACTCCCGCTCCAAGGTCGGATTATTTCATCTGTTAAACTGACACTCTTTGTGATTATGCAACAAGTGTTCGATGATTTCTATAGTTTGGAGAAAGGAACGATTAGGGACATGTTTCGGACTTCCAAGAGGCCATCTTCAGCCTTTGTTGAAGGTAATTGAGTTGAAATATCATTGATGTCTACTTATAAAAATATAAGTTACCACTATTTTGAGCCACTGAGAATGTGAGTGTCAAAACAGCTAACATATCAGCTGTCATTCGACACGTTTTTAGTTCCTAGGAGTTGAACTTCAACTTTAGCTCTGGAAGTGTTGCTTTGCAAGTTTTGCAAATTTTGGAACAAAAATGGACGACCTTTGAGCCGATTGCAGAAAAATATACATTTTTTGCAATCGGTATTCGAGAAAACGAATCTTTACATACATTTTGGGTGGATGTACCTAATTCAATGTTCTTCATGACAATATAGCCTTCTGCCCGTTGTCTACCATTGTAGTTCGATTTTCCATAAGTGAGTGAAAATGTCCTTATAGAAGGTGATTCAAAATTCAATGTAAATATTTCAAGGACGTATCATTGTTGGGATCAAAATAAGTATTTTTCTTTATATGAACATGTTTCCTGAAATGCTTACCCTTCGAGCTACATCCACTGTAAGCTGGGTAGAAAAAAGTGATTATCTGAAATTATGATCATAATGAATCAAGTGCAAGTATTCCAGAACTGCGCGCCTCTGAAATGACAGTCTAAAATGCATTACGACATACGATCACCTCCGTATGCCAGCGTTCAACCCATGGGGTTCAGAAAACCTCGGTCATGTTAGCTCCCGGCCGGCCAGCTCCAAGCGGCACTTTTCCACCACCGGTCAATTTTCGTTTTGGCATTGCTCTTCGTTTCGTACGCCAATCATTATTTATATACTTCCAAGAGAGAAAAACTCAAAGGAGTATGGACTACTACAGAAGATTATATACTTCCTATCCACGGATACGATGAAAATTGATAACCTTTGTGTCTCATTCCAAGTGGAAAAAAATTTAGATAAACTGTGATCACCGTTATTCTAAGGGGCTAGCGCGAATGATGAAAGTGTTCGATTTCACGTTATTCGATTGAATTTCCATATTTTTCATCCACCACAAGAAATTATCAGCCAAGAAAAACAATCGATAGGAATCTCAGAGGGGTACATGATCAATACAAAGGAGTTTTTTTGTTTAGTAAATGTTCAATATAGAGGATTTTTTTCGTTTTATTAGGTCAGCCCCAAAGGGCCAGCTCTAAGGGTAGAATTGTTTTTTTTTATCGCTTGGAGCGCACGAAAGGGAATCCCTATAATGTTCAAAGAACTTCATGCGTTTCTAGGGAGGATAGAGACAGGAGGTAGGTATTGGATTTTTTTTGAACTTCTGGAGATTATATGTTGTTGGGAATACTTCCACAGGCAATGAATTCCAGAGCCTAGCCGTTCTATGGAAGAAGGAGTCTTGATAAAGTGCTGTTCGACATCTTTCGAGGTTGACAACGGAAGAATGTGCTGATTGGGCTTGTCTAGTTCGTCTGATTGGTATTGCTAGTGAAGGGATGATAGCAGAGATTTCCGAAGAACATTTCCCGTGGAAGTATCGATAGAAAAGTGAAAGGTCGCCGACCTTTCTACGGTGTTCCAATGATGTCAGAGAGTGAGTGAGTGTGGCGTCACCCACCAGGCGAATGGCTCTTCTCTGGATGGAATCTAAGAGCATCAGCGTATGTTTTGATGCTGAACCCCATATGTGGAAACACTATTCTAGAACAGGCCGTATCTGCGCTTTGTAGATCATGAGAAGCTATTAGATATAAATTCTTGATTTCTTTCATCATAAAAATGACCGACCAAGAAAATCGATTGATGGAAATCGTAGAGGGGTACATGTTCAATACACAAAATGTTGTTCGTTTTCTTAGGTCAACCCCAAGCTATTCGATATGAATTCCAAAATTTTCTTCTATCATGAGAAATGACCAGCAAAGAGAATCGATTGATAGAAATCGTAAAGGGGTACATGTTCAATCCACAGAATTTTTTTCATTTCATTAGGTCAACCCCGAAGGGCCGGCTCCAAGGGTAGAATTGTCCGATATCGAGCTATTCGATATGAATTCCTGATTTTTTTTTTCACCATAAAAAATGACCGGCCAAGAAAACCGATTGATGCAGATCGTAGAGGGGTACTTGTTCAATACACATATTACTTTTTCGTTTTATTAGGTCAACCCCAAAAGTGCAGCTCCAAGGGTAGAATTGTCCGATGTCGAGCTATTCGATATGGATTCCTGAATTTTTTTCAACCATAAGAAATGACCGGCCAAGAAAACCGATTGATGAAAATTGTAGAGGAATACATGTTCAATAAACAGGATTTTTTTCGTTTCATTTGGTCTATCCCAAAGGGCCAGCTCCAAGGGTAGAATTGTTCGATGTCGAGCTATTCGATATTGAATCGGAATCTGTGGTAAAGATTGACCGTGGTGGAAAAAAGCCGCGTGGAGCTGGCCGGCCGGGAGCTAACATGACCGAGGTGCAAATAAAACTGTTGACCCCTCTCCAACTCCCCCAAAACTGGATTCTTATCATTTTTGAAGCAAGAAGAAAATTGTGTCTAAAAAGACAGGGGATTGTCAATTTTCAGAAGATTTGATCCGTTGTTTTAGTCATCATTTTAAATAATTTTTTGTTCAACCTAACTTACAACGGCTGTAGCTCGGTGAGAGTGCATTTTGAGAAACATGTTTACACAGGGTGTCCCAAACCTCATCGTGATCCTGTGGAAGACTGAGCTCATGACTGACCATAATATCACAATTTTGTAAAATATTGATAGTTTTGGAGATATCGGCACTTTTATGAAGTTTGTGAAAATCGAAACCTTTGATCATTATTCCGACTGCCGCAGGTATAAAACTCTATAGTCTAAGATTTAAAATTTTGTTATGCAATGTAATAACCCTTCTATTGATTACAATCCAAATAAGAATATTGGTGCAATAGGTACCTTGAAAGGAAAAAATATGTTTGTCCGATTCAGGATGATGAAGAATTGCTCAGTGTCTTCTACTTGAGAAAAAAATATATTTCTAGTTTCGATTCTCACAAAATTCGCAAAGTGCCAATATCTCCAAAACTATCAATACCTATTTCACTAAGGTCATATTGTGATATTCTGGTCAGTCATATGAGCTGGATAATCAGCCCTTCAAAAGATGACGTTGAGTTTTGGGACATCCTGTATAAAGAAGAAGTATTATTCTGATCCCAACAATATGCCTATGCAATATTCACATCGAATTTTGAATCACCCTGTATAGTTCGCTTCGCCTTCCTTCTAGAAATACTTCCATCGCCATAATAAAATTAATATGATTACTACGTATAAAATCACTCTCATTTAATATTTACCCACTTAACATTAACTAGTACTCTCTACTCTCCTGTTTTATTGATCGTCATAATTTTATATTATGTTTCTACAATGTAGTTTCATTGTTATTACTTCGATCCACTAACCGTTTCCATACAGGCTAACTGAATGTTACATTTTTGAAATGCTGATAACAGAGGAGAATAGTTCTCATAGAACTACAGCCAATAATAAATATTCGAAATTGAACTGTCATTCAGGTGGGTTGGTTGATCTGACAGAACGAATATTTTTTTGAAAATTCATTCACATCTACATCAACAACCAATAATAAATCTTATTTTTTTGAAATCTATATTGTTTCTCTTCTATAAATATAGTTTTTTCAATAAATGATAAACATGCCTGCACCTGGCTGTCTCAATCAAATTTGTCATATTTCACTTGTCGAATGCATTGATCAACAGTTCGATATCGTTTTTCTACGGCTATAAGACCAAATTATTGCTCAAAATCAATGGAGTACTGTGTTTATCATCAATTTCATTTTCGTATCTCCCATGAGATTTCAGATTTCAAGCAATGACAGCTATGTCTAACAGATGAGCATGATACTCAAGAGAAAATCATATGGCTACAGGCCGAAGAAATCAAGAAATTTTGCTATTATCTATTAAAGACATGGAAAAAGTACAGTGTGTAACTCGCACGTAATAATAATTTCCCACTCGTATGATTCGCACTATACTCCTACGGCTCATGCTGCAAACTTCATTCTGGTGAGAAATGTCTATCATTCCGATAGGCTGATTCACGGTAATGGTACATTATTAGACGTTTCTAGAGAACGCAACGTAGGATTATTTTGAAAATTCGGTTCCTTGGATAATTAGTTGAGTTCTATCGACCTGAAATATGCTCAGCGCTGCGACGTTGCCGCTTATATTGAGTAGCAACAACTTCGATTTTTTCAATGGGACACCCTGTACCCTGTATATTATTCCATTTTCAGATTTTTCCTGAAGAGCTGATTTCATCGATCTATCACACTTGGGGTCTAGCGGGAATGATAACAAAGATATATGGTCTGAAAAATCGAGATTCTTCAACTTTATGAATTTGTTGTGTCGAAACTATTCATAATTGGTCAAAACGGTTTCCATGTCCCTATCCTAACTTGTCATGTACTATCAATTGATATTTAATCGAAATAGATACAAGGTGGTCAAAAATCCTAATTCTGAACCACCCTGTATTTATTTTATATGTTGTATTTATAAAATGTTGGGATAGGGACATTGAAACAGTTTTGACCAATTATGAATAGTTTCGACACAAAAAATTAATAAAGTTGAAAAATCTCGATTTTTCACATCCTATAACTCTGTAATTATTACTGCTAGACCCCAAGTGTTACAGATCAATTGAATCAGCTCTGCAGAGAGAATCTGAAAATGGAATGATATATAGGGTATCTCGAGTGGTAGCCAATTCAAAATATCAACGCTGTTGCTACTTTTCAATATAAGCGGCATCGTCAGAATGCTGAGAATATTTTAGGTCGATAGAGCACAACTAATTATTCAAGGCACTGAATTTTCAGAATAATCCTGAGTTGCTTTCTCCAGAAATCCTGTATACTATAACCGTCGAATTAGTGTAAATATAAGTTCGAATGATGAACACGAAATTGCAGAAAATATACAAACGACGGAAATATTTTGTAACCAAATTTAACGCACCTGCTTCGACCTCGCCCTCATCAATACATTAGTTGGTTAAATAACTATTTCTACACGTCTAACTGATTCGAACTTTTTCTGAACGCAGTACGCTCTACTGGTGGTGGTCCACTGGTGATATCGAGTGCGAACCGCAAACCGATGTCGAGAAACGATTCGCAGTGGCTCGCAATCTTGCTCGATGCTCGCTCAGAGTTCGAATTTTCTGTACCGTGCCACATCATCAGGAGGATTACGAATACTGTGCCAAAGAAAAGGGAGGCCAGTATGCCATTGAGCATGTCGGAAACTACAGATTCGCGGTCGCCAAGGTCATGAAATGACGTTGCGATGACATTGAAAGGAGTTAGGATGTTTTTCCGTAGATTTTTCGGCTATATTCTGATTTGATAAGACAACACTAAATGTTTGAAAAACAACGGTATGAAATGGTACATTCCTTTCTCCTCTAAAATAACAGTTCACTGGAGCCACACTACATTTTGGCCATATTCCAGTTTCAATTGACAGTACTGAATCTGCTGATTTCTCATTCCGAAATAAAAAAAAAATCTCTGAAAGTGACAGATACTTGTGATCAGACATACTATTCATTACAAATATTTAGACTCTTCATTCTGCTGAAATTGCTGACTATCGAAAGGTAGTGTGGCTTCAGTGAACTGTCATTATTTCAGAGGGGGAAGGAGTCTAATATTTATTTCCGTTATTCAAACTTTTAGTCTTGTCTCATCAATAATAAATCAATTATATCATATTCATTATCAGAAAATGCCTGTTATTAAAATAATGGACGCTGAGAATGATCTTCAAATTTCACCAGCTGATCAAATTAACTCAAAAACATGAAAACGTGTTCCGAATTGCAGCACAATATTTTAGATTTTATATTTCGGAACACATATTTTCAGCAGAGTCAGTGAATTTACTACTGACCAGTTGAATTCGGAATATAGTCTTAATGTCATCGCAACATCATCTAATGACATTGGCGACCACAAATATGAATAAATGGGAAAATTGAGTCGATGATGGTTGCTCAAACACGAAACGTTGGATCAGAAAATCGATGATGTCAAATTGAATAGCATCAAAAGTTTTCATGAATATGTATTCTCAGTTTTCTAATAACATCATCATTAACGCCAGAAAAAAATAATATTGAAAATCTGGAAATACGTTTTTTTTTAAATAACTCAAAAATGAAAAGACATTTCAGAGATTTTTGAAAGTCACTTTGTTGGTCCTTCACTTGCGCAACTTTATTTCCATTCAACCATCAAATCTACTGTAACTCCCTTAGTTTCCGAGTTGCCCCCCGCCCATACTTTCCTCCTTATCTTGAGCACAGTGTATATATCATCTTAGAAAATCATTGAATGGAATACTGGGATGATGAGACTTCTTCTCATGTATAGGTTGTCATGATCTTTACGAAGATGACGAGGATTCCTCATCTCCCAAGAAGAAGACAGTCATCGAAGAGCAGTGGGAGAAGAACCAAGGGTTCGAGCTGACCAGTGTGGAACAAGAAACTTACGAGAAGTATTTTTACGGTACCGAACACTGGAACTACTTCACTAACGATGAAGACCTCGGTCCTATCATATTATCAATAAAACAAGAAACGCTCAATTGTAGGGATCAATTCAGGTAAGGATAAAAATTGTCTTTATATACCTACTACCAATATGTAATGTGAAACATTACGACACAATCTTAGTATCGTAATGAGATTCTTCACCGCACTAGTGCGATAAAGTAAAAAAAATATGATTTCAAATTTGATTTTTAATACAAAAATAAGAACCAATATACCGGGTGTTCTATTTTAATCTTTATTTGGAAATTTCTCGAAAGGTATGCATCTGACAAAAAAAATTGCCGAATAAAAGTTGTATGGTTTGGAGGGGGACGTCTGGTTATAAAACAAGTTTCACCCCCAAAATTAGGAAATTCAAGATGTAGGATCCAAAATTCTAGCACCAACACTATTTCTACTCCATATCAACGATTTGTTGGAAGCAACTTCATGCCCATTACACAGCTTCGCGGATGATAGAACCCTCCGTACCGCCTTCTCTTCCAGGGCTCCAATACCAGCCAGGCAAATCAAAAACGAACGAGGGAGAAATTTTGAAAACATAAATAAGGACTTGGCAACAATTCTCGAATGGGGATCCAATAATTTGGTAGATTTCAATGAAAACAAAACACAAGCATGCCTTTTCTCTAGAAAAGGCGATCTCACTGTACCCAACATAAGCTTGTCAGGAGTAATCATACCTTTGAAGACATCTATTCCGAAGCTTGGTATCACTATTAGCAATAACCTTTCTTGGAAAAATTACGTGAGATCAAACAGTGCTGAAAACTTGGTTTTCTGTTTTGGGCCAGGAGCTATTTCACTCCCAGTCAGCTGCCTATGATCTATAAGGCACAGATCCGACCTGTCCTGGAATACTGTACCCGTATTTGGAGTGCAGCACCCAAACATACCCTGATGAAACTGTTGAATTCTGTAAAAAAAGGCGATTCGTCTAGTGGGTGATGCCTCGCTCAGAAGAACACCAGTTCCTACCTTATTTCCCTTGGTTCTCACGATATTCTCTGAACATTACAGGATTTCCTTTTCGTGGGAACCAGAACATAAAAAAATGGTTGATTTTGTAATTAGAATCCGATTTTATTCAAATTCAGATCTGGTGGCTGTCGGGGTCGGAGATTATGATTCTTTCTTCAGAATTTGGAAATTCAAGATGGCGGACCTAATATGGCGGACGGGTATTGTAATTATCATCCGAATTGTTAACTGGGTGTTTTCGAGATCAGAGATTATGATTCTTTTGTCAACCGCACAGCGATTCATTTGCTCTTATTATTTCGGACATACTTCCGTCATGTGATAACGAGTTGAAACAGAAAGCAAATGGAAGGGGAAAATGTCCCTTTTGCGAATACCGAAACGTGCCATGATTCAAACTGACCTAAGTTATATTTATTTCGCCCTCGTCGAAAGAAAATATCCCATGACATTTTGTGGAAATCTTATCGTTTGTGAAGTTTCACATTTGATAGATATATATGTTGCCGCATTCGCCAAATCTTACTATGCCTAAACGTGAGTCGAGGCCTCTGAAGAGTGTTGTATGATCGAAGGTCGAGGCCATACATTCGCCATAGTCGTTAATATGACATCATAATTAATAGAATTATAATTTCCTAACTGAAGATGAAATTATCTTTCTCCAGAAAAATTTACTCAAAAGACTCCTATAGTATTCGACTCATTCTCTTGTACGAGTAGTCACTCCAGATGGACGGGAAGAAATATGCAATATCTCGATCTTATTTTTTTCAATATGATGAATATACGCGAGAATCCTAGATGTTTAAATATTCATAATGTGAAATGTGTGTATGAAAATGTGCATTATATAAGATTCAATTTCTCGCTGGATGTACTATATAGTAATAATTCATTGAACAGGACTTAATAATTTTAATGAGACAATTTTGCTTCCATTTTCTCTTTTATATGAGCTTCTTTATGTCAATAAAATTCACGAGTTTCAGTAAGAAAACCCATTTCAGATTTCATTTGTTACCAGTATCAGTTCGGATAGTGCAATGATCCATTAATCCCATCAGGAAAATTCGTTATTAATTTCAATCGTATCGTAAAACTTGAGCAAGAGTTGTTTCCGAGAACTAAACTCGAATAAGAAATTACGGTTCCAAGTTTATGAATTTCCCAAGAGATTTTGCACTCACTGGACATCGACGAATTTCGATTGAATATGGAAAAACTAATCCCAAATGTTTTCATCTCAATTATTTCATGTGGTTTCATCAGATTCAACAAGGAAATAAGCTATTCACAGAATGTGGCATTTGCTGATACAGGTGTGATCTGATATCGGTTAGAGTTGTCCAAAAAATATTCGTTTTCGAATAATAATTTTTTAAACACGAGCTGCTCAATGAATTTTTGTTTCTCAGTGAGAGGTCCTTCGATTGGTGAGAGGATTACTTTTGGAAACTATCGGACTAATCGGACAATTCAAAACTGCAACATACGTTTTATTGATCGTAACAAACATGGATAAAATCTTAAATCTAGTATAGGTTCTTAGCTGAATGCCTATTGTCCTGACGAGTCGCCATCACTTCACTACAGTTTTTGAAATGTCAGTGCACTACTGAAATAGTTCTCATACGTTTTATTGATCGTAACAAACATGGATAAAATCTTAAATCTAGTATAGGTTCTTAGCTGAATGCCTATTGTCCTGACGAGTCGCCATCACTTCACTACAGTTTTTAAAATGTCAGTGCACTACTGAAATAGTTCTGTTGTCGATGTCTGGTAGGCCCGTAGTTTTGTAAATTTGTAGCAAACTTTAATATAAAGTACCTCACAAACTCTCAGGTAGAATCACGTTCAATCACTTTAATATAAGGTACCTCACAAACTCTCAAGTAGAATCACGTTCAATCTCAGAGTGTCGCTCTCGATTACATACAAACCTCATGTTCCGATATTGCTGACATTACTGGTCACAGTAAGCAATTTAGGAACACTGAACAGTAGCAGAAGTTTCGAATTTTCATTTCATTTCGGAACGATTTTGGCAGTAGTACACAGGCAGCAAAACATTCTATTGGATCATCGAATTTTTAGTTTTTTTCTCATACAAATAAAAAAAAGTATTCGTTGGAGGTTTTTTCATCTCGTGTTTACTCACGTTGAAATTATGGGTGCAGCAGTATATCATATTTTCTCAGAAGGAATATTATCCGATAGTAATTCTGATTCATCAGAAACACTAAGCTCTACTACCTCAAGTCTCAAGTTCCAGCGAGGAACAAATGGATGATTCTCTGAATGCTATCATTATCGTGAACTAGAGGACCTGTCGAGAGAATTCCTAGAATTGAGAATTATATTGAAAATGTTATTTTGCATTACACTCCAGACATTTTCAGACAACATTTTAGGTACTGAGCAAGGCATTTTCAGGCAATGCAGTGTTTTCAAAGTTATACTTCCAGAGTGTTTCCTGATACATTTCATTTCCTGGTGGGGTGTTTGAGGAAAAAAATTGGACATCCAGATGGGCCAGGAAGATTCCAAATTCCTTAAGAACATCAAATTCTATTTGCCTTGTGGTATTGCAACACCAGTCCCCTATTATAGCAGTTTCTGCTTCTACTTCCACTGTGAGATCTTCCAGTTAGACCTCATACATTCTTCCAAAGTATTTGAAAATAATAATTTATTTTTCATTAACTCTAACCAGATCTTGAAAATAACCTAACATTTCATGAATACTGGCACTACATCACCATTTCTGGTCTTTTCCTTTCCCCTTCTGACAGTTCTGACTCCGACCTACTTAGCAAATTCAGCGTCAAAATACGACGCTTCACCCTTCGTTCCCATTGGTCAGCTTGTTCGCCTGGAAACATCCAAAATGTCCTAACCACGAACGTTCACCAGTTGCTCCCATCCACTTCGACACTTTTATCAAATTGTGCATATCCACCAACTACTAACCTTAACCTATCTTATAATAATACTATAAAATTATGGGTTTGGTACAGTTTTTAGTTATAAACCGATTTCATTGATTTTTCTGTTTGACAGAAATTTATATGAAATCAACACAATTATGTTTCATCCCAATTAGTTCGCATGTGGATTTATCAAATTCATCAAGGGAATGAGCTATTCACAGAATGTGCATTTGCTGATACAGGTGTGATCAGAAATCAATTATATAGGGTTGTACAAAACATATTCGTTTTCAAATATTGATGTTCCTATTCATGAACCCATTTCATTGATTCTTTTTGTTCGAAAGAAACTTATATAAAATCAACACAATCATGTTTTCTGACGACATCACTGTAACCATCAGAGGTACAGGATTCATCTCTTTCATCTCATTATCAATGTTGTGGAATGTGGAAAATATGATTGAAAAAACCTCAAGAAATCGAAATCGATCAATTCTTCCCCTTGATTTCATCACAGAAAATTTGTTGGCATAAAAAAAGAATGCTCTACTTATACACATTGATACCTTAGGATGAAAGCAATTTGAATAAAATAACCTCAGAAATGTAATAATAGACTTATTTGAAATATTGAAACTAAATTGAATATGCTTTGATAATGTCCCTGCATTTCCATGGAGTATGATATGAGGACGCAATCCTGATAGATTTCCAGGTTGCGACCAAATATTCTTCATTTCCGACAAATAGCTGATAATATGCTTACATCCAGAATAAATGTTCCAACAAATATTTTATTCCATCCTAACCTTCCTTCGGTTTTGGTGAGCAGTTTTGTTGCTTCAACAAAAGCGTTCCAGATTATGAACAACCATATAGCTATCCGGTCCTGCTTCGCAAGTTGATGTATACTCATTTAAAAGAAATATTACATTCGTTGCAGTCGTTCTGAGCTATTAGCGTATCTACAGCACATATTTTCATGATATTTTTTGAAAACTTCTCTGCTTATCTATGGCTACTATCATATACTCACACTTATTTTCATTATTCAGTATTTTTTTCTCGTTTTACGTATTAAAAATTTCAACCCTATCGGTCGAGCCGTCTACTAGTTGATTTACTGACAG